GGTCACGGCTTCTCATTAGAACTTCGGGGTATATATCTCGAAGTTCGTCGCTAATAAGCACTATACTGAAATGTATATTGAGGCCAGTAGGGATTTTATTTTTAAAGTAGCTAATATTGAAAATTGATTGGAGTAGGAAACTGTGGACTGTCAAAATTCAACCCAGTGGCTGAACGGTTAAGGCATTCGCTATTAAACCTGAAGGTCCTGGGTTTGATCCCTAGCTGGGTTACGGGTGCGTACTGCTGAGGAGTCCCATGCCAGGAAGAAACAGCTGTCCATTGCACCAACGCTTTCAATGGTTCTCCAGCTGATATCAGTCTATGGTGAATCCTGCCTTAAAAATAGGTTATATGGTGTAAAAAGAAGTATCGGTAGCGTTATGCTTTTAAAGTATATATTACCTTCAGTTTTAAATTCATGGAAGTAAGTAGAAAAGAGCATAGGCTGAAACAATTTGAACGATTGAATAAATATTTTCAAGATGAAAACTTCTAATTCTAGACAAAAACTTACATAACTGATTAGATAAATCAAAGGCAAATGGCTCAAGATTGATCAACAAACAATACAGTATTACCGTGGATAGTATTCAAGACGACTGCTAAACCATATTCAGTGTTTTAGCCGGTGAGATGATATTAAGTTGTTGATTTTTTAAATCTTTCTGCAGAGATTATTCACATCGGGTATTAAACGTGGGAGTGTTATGAAATCGCACAATGCAATGCCTCATTGAAACCGAAAGATATCAGTGAGAAGAGATTAGCAAGGAAAGAGACAAAGTTTATCATTATAAATAGCTAAGAAATGAGATCGGTAACTACCACCGTCAAGTTGCAGTCATCCAAAAACGGAAGACCAACTGTACGTTCAGATATTCTGAGTTATGATGATGTTGGTGAGATTGTGAACTTTCATTGACTTAGATGAGTGGGAAATGTGCTATACATGGCTGACCAATATCTATGGTGGAGTGCTACGTTATAGGTTGGGAAAACTAAAAAGCAATCAGACTAAACCGTCACTGACGACTTATTCGAGTAGTGTAGGTGATAGTTGAAAACTCGATGCTGTACTGCTTAGAATGAAACACAGTGGCGCAGAGGCATAGAACCGATTATCTTCACCCTGATCATCACATCATATTTTGTTGTTTGCTTTACCCCAATTTTTGATCACATCCATTTTTCGATTTCTTTGTCTTTCAATGTGATACTAATGACCCTAGTTTTCTTACACAAAACTTATCCTCATGACACAAAGCAAGAAAGTTGAAAAATTATTTGAAGTAAACTACCATGTCGTAACAAGGAGTTAGCCAATTCACCGCCACACAAGTAGGTATAGAACCCATTGATATACCCTGTGGATTACTGTCGAATCACCATGGAATGGAACAAGGTGTTTTAAATTTACAGCTGAGTAAACCCCCCAGTCTCTTTTACCAACGAAAGAGGAATGTTGACAAATGCTGTTGGATTGAAATTGTTCTGCCTAATTGGATCAGTAGGATCTTTTAATCTACAGAGCTTATTTGTAGGTTTAAATGCTACTGTAATCCCAGACTTACTGAGAACCCTAGGTAATTTCTCTCGGGTATTAACATACAAGAGCACCTCAGACGCATGGCATTTAAACTTACAAACCTACTTAGAGACAAGCTTTTTAGGTTAAAAGATCCCATTGATCCAACTGGGCAGAATAATTTAGTTTATCAAATCTCTTGCAGTGATTGCAAGGTCGAGTACATAGGTCAAAGTAGTTAACCAGGTTAATTTTTTAGACTATCTGATCACAGAATCTACCAAAATCAGGATTAATAGATCCTAGTAAGATAAGAAATCTAGAAAAAATCTATGCATGTAATTACACACAACCACATAATAGGTCGGGATAGAGTGACAATCTTTAGAATTAACCCTAAACAGGGTGGGAGGAGAGATTTATGAAAGAGCAACTTTAAAGGTCACTCTAGCAACTGCTGAGATTAACCAATTGGTCGTCTATATTTTATGAAAAACTACTTTTCTAGCCGAAATACCTAAACCTGATTGATTATTTAAGCAGTTGCCAAAATGACTCTTAAATGTGTGCAATATACAACTGAATTTTTGTTTATCAAAACAACATATAAAACATCACATGTAAAAGGAATGAATCAACACCTGTTCCGCATACATGGAAAATCTTACTACCTACCTTTATCACAAAAAAGGCAAAAGAATTAGAACTATATAAACCATGTCTCAAAGTTATAGAGTTATCTTGATATGACTATGAACAATAAATTGTGTCCGAAACGTAATCCAGTGAATGACAATACTATTTTGTTGTATGATACGTCTAAATAAATCATGTAAAATGAAAATACATCCTACGACAGTGCTCAAGTTTCCCACTTATATTAAAACCAGACTTTAATAAGATATAAAAATAGGTGTTAGAGAACCATTCTCGTTCATTTCACCGAGCGCTTCTCGGCCCATGGTTAGTTCCCTTCCTATGTTGTCCGCTCCCAGTTTGGCGTTTACTGGAATTTCTTATCGTACATAAAATAATAACCGTATTAGTGATCAGTATGAAGATATTAGTTGCTAACTGAGTTATCCTGGATATCTTGAGCACACGTTGTCGTTAAGGTAAAAATCATTACTGTAGCTTAGAATAAACCATAAACAGTTACTGAATAAGAAAAAAAAGGTCATGGTCAGTGAAAAAGTAATTTTCTTTACCTTCTATATGATACCTGACTACTGACAAGATTCGTTATCAATTTTGTCGACAAATGAAATCAGCGAATATGAAAATAGGACCTAGGAATTACTATGCAACAGTCTAGGTTGCTACAATTAATATCAGCATATCCACATACAAAACAAAGAATATGTTCAAGAATGGTAGGAAAATACAATTGATGACTAAATGTTAAATGAAAATTCGGATGGTGACAGGATTTGAACCACTGGTCTGAGGATTATCAGCTTGCCACTTCACTAGCTGAGCTACGACACCCAGCTACTGGTTATATCTTCATTATAACCACCACTGGTGTGGCCCAGGTGTCATGCGATTGCATCGTTCAGTTGGTTGAGTTTCAGGCATATAATCCAGAGATCATTGATTCAAATTCTACAGTGAATCACGTTTTCACTCCGTCTTCAATTATCATCCCATATCAGTAATACCAGTCTATCAAATCAAGGCTATCTCAGATAATCTCATCAACAGTTGTAGACAGGTACGAGACGAATAGGAGTTGATTCTCAACCATATCATTAGAAGTTTATGTTTCTGTTTCTGTTATCGCAAGAACTCCAACTAAGTAACCCTCGCCAACAATCAGAAACTTGATAGACTGAGGTTGCGTTTCAATCTGATTGTCTTTAACCTTTTCTCAGCCTAAAATTACTTCACATAGCATAGTGTCATGGTGTAGGTAGTGGGTTGGGATGCGCAATACATATCTCAACCTCTTCAGTGCATGAAGGTTTGCAACTTTATCAACTGGTTCATCTCCTCTATGTAAGCTCTATAACTGAGTTATACAACAATTACGTAGATATTTAACCATACATGTTCGATAGTGAAAGGATAGCGATGATCAACAGCCTGAATCCTTTTCACGGTTTCCAATTTTAACGTTTACTTTTTTTAGTCATCAAGTAGAATAGAAACAAGTGCTGTACCTGACCTTTAGTATGCAACCGCAAACGTCAATTCTGCTTATTCATGAAATACCAGACAGAGAAACAGATATACACTTCAAAACCTTTCATTCATTGTTGCATATTAAAACAAAGCTAGTGAACGTAATATATGTAACAAATTACACACTGAATAATCCAAGTATAGCTTTATAGTAGGATAATCAGAGAGTATATTAACAACAACTAAAAAGATGACGTCCATCTACCTCGCTTATGATCCCACAACATATTTGAAGTCAAAGTCACAGGACTCCAAGGGTGTGTGCCATGCATCTCTTCGATTAACATAAAACTACTCTAAATGAACACCTCTCCTGGTTAACATAAACTATCAGCAGTAAAAATGAGTAAGGGATGTGTGAAAGTTATGTACACAACACAATGTAATGATCAATTAAGAACATATGTAATTTATTAAAGCCACCGAAGACTGATCTTTTAATTGACAGATTAACTAACTGAGATAGAATTCATGATTTTCTAAGGAAGATATTATCGAGGAACAACATAATAAGCTATTGTAGTACATTTTTCAATTGACTGCTGTAGGACAATTTATTTCATCATATACACTGAATGAATAAATCTTGGTGTATTACTCATTATACTGGGTGATGGTTGAAGGTGAAATGAAAATTTGGACCGTGGCCAGATTTGAACCCGGAGACCACCGGGCTTCCAGCCCGATGCACATCAGATCAAGCAAAGACTAATATACAGGTGAAGATAGTTAGAACAATGACTCGAAGAAAACAATTTTTTATCATAAAGCTGCACCATACAATTTTCTCCTTTTTTTTTATCCGACAACTTTTTGTAAAGCTTCAAGACTTCTTCAACAATGCAGTAAAAACCACCAATTTTAAAGTCGAATTTTGAGGGAGTTGTGGAGATTTGAAAGTATTTCAAGTTGTTATTCATCGTACACTGACATCAGCTGGAGGAACAAAGGAAACCTGGGAGCACTGGACAGCTGTTTCGTCCTATTATGGGACTCATCAGCAGTGCGCACCCACGACCCTGCTAGGGACCGAACCCGCGACCTTCAGGTCCCGCGGCCAGAGCGTTACCATTGAGCCACTAGATCAGAACTCAGTGTTACATATTTCCAACTTCCGTCGGCTCACGATATAGCGTCCCATACTAGGACGAAACAGCTGTCCAGTGCTCCCAGATTTCCTGTGTTCCTCCAAATGATGTCAGTCTACGATGAATAACAACTTGGGATTTTAAAGTCAACCAATAACATAAAAGTTAGGAAATGAGAAAAACATTCCATGCATAGCTTACATGATATTCTGTTAATTCTTCCATAATTGCTCTTTGTTGTTCTCTCAAGTTGTTCAACTCTTCACCAGAGGTTTGATGATGATCGTTAAATGATGAAGTCGATTTTGATTTCTCTATCTCTAATAAATTATTCTACATTTCAAAATGTGGGGGGAAAAAATGAACAGAAAAACAACAGTCAACGTTGTGTGAAACGTAGGTTGTTCATATCGGTATAAATAATAAACTTTTTAAAAATATCTGCGTAAAAACCAAGATTATCAAAATCCAATTCCGTGTACATGTAAGCTGAAAATAGAGAATGGATCAGATAATACTACTAATATGATTTTAAACAGATGCATACTGTTGAACACTACAAAGAAAATGTCTACTGACGATTCGTTTGTGCAAAGTAGGCTAAATATATTACGCTGAGAACGGTAAAACATCTTTACCCGGTTAATGAAAGATGTAATAAGATGAATTATGTATTTGTATATTTTATTTGTCCCTGGGGTTCCTAGTGGAACATAGGGCTGCAGTAGCACGTCTCCAGTGCACTCTGTTCTCTGCAAACTTTTGAATCTGGTTCAACGACAGCCCAGAAGCTCTCATTTCTTCCTCGTACGATCTCCTACATGTCATCTTCGATCTGATTTTTAGTGTGTCCATCTGGTGAAATCCATGTCGCTTTGTGGATATCCTTGTGCTTGAACACAGTGCCTCCAATCACCAAATCGTTGAATGCACAGAATTCTGCAAACAATTCTCCATTCTCGTTCATTTCACCGAGCGCTTCTCGGCTCATGGTTAGTTCCCTTCCTGTGTTGTCCGCTCCCAGTTTGGCATTCATGTCGCCCAGATGCACAGACAAAACCAATGTAGAATCTCGTACACAAATGTATCACTTCAATTTGTCACACTTTACAATAGTATACAAAGAAGAAGTGAGTTGAAAAAGAGTGATATCAAAGGAAACAAAGTAGTATGAGAGAATAAAACAGTATGAAGATAACGAATGATGCAAAAATTTAAGCTTCAGCATAATTATGACTGATTTCGGGCCATGGCACAAAAAGTTGTCAACTACTGATTCCTATCGTCTAGGAGACTCCAGTAAGGAAGTCTAAATCACCCCTATAGGTTTCATAACAACAGAGACCTTGACGACTGGTGCTATGCCTTACTACGACCACTCTGAATCCTACTTTCCGTAACATGGCACGTCGAGGTAGGCGGTGCATCGGCATGCGCAACACACGTCAGAGACATCTCAGTCGATGAAGGTTCACAACCTTATCAATCGACTTCCATGCCTTACCTTACCTTACCGCTTGCCTGACCTCAGTATTCCTCACATGGTAATTCCACCGAACACGAGCAATGCTACAAAGACGTCTTTCATCGTAAACCTGTAACCCCTTGATATCTCCCACTTTTAACTGCCATGTCTCATAGCCGTATAACTGGAGAGAAGGGACTGCAGAGCAGTATACCCGTCCTTCCATAAATAGTCGGATATCACAACAGTCAGCGTCAGAAGCGACACAAGTTATCAAACACCAGACTGGCCTTCTGTATCCAAGCTGAGATTTTGTCAGCAAGCAACCTGTTTGACGGGCTGATGTAACTAACCAAGTAGGTGAAGCGGTCGGCACATTCCACCACTTCGCTCGCTATCAATCAAACAGAGTAGCTGCAGACCAGTCCTGCGGCATCGTCTTGCAGCTGACAGTGAAACGTATTCCAAACATACTCAGATTTCTGCTCAATGCATGAGTTCAGAAAACCCTGTATTTTGTCAACGTCTTGACACAGTAAGACAATATCGTCTTCATGCTCAAAATCAATATGGAACACTACGAAGAAATATACGAATTCTGAAAAAAGACTGTAACCCAAAAATCACACAGTAATTCAGGGACTGGAAGACGTAGTTTCATAGAATATTACACGATATTTCACTAAATTCATTTGCAGCATTCTGCAATAATGCGGCAAAACCACCGACAAACATAGGAAATAATTAAACTGAAAAATAACAAAAAACAATCAGACTAGGAATAAACAGGTAGGTTGTGGTGCCAGTAACTAACTGTGCATGTGAATCAAAGGATTTTAGAAGTCAGGATGCGTAGGATAGTAGTATGTTGATCGCAAGACTGTTTATTTCTGTAACCAACGTAAACAGAATAAGTAGCTGTTTAGAAAATTTCCTGAAACATAGTGTCTTCGAATCCGACCTCAATAAATATGCATAAAAACATGGTAGGGATGAAATCGACATCAGTTATCCTACGGATCTATTTAACCAGAGCCTAACCTAACTAGTCACCAGACAGCAGACAATTTATCTTTGTCAATAGTCACTGAAACTCATCGAGATGTCGCGGTGTATTAATACGATCCTTACTAAAAACTCAATATTTTGGAACAAATAGTATGAAGTATTAACTTCAGGTTGGTATTCAGCATGGACTGATATTAGTTACAAAAATAGTGGAAACCTTGAGCACTGGGTAGCTATTTCGTCCCAATACGAAACTCCTCGGCAGTGCGCACCCATGACCTCGCTCCCTCAGGGACCGAACCTAGGACTTTCAGGTTCCGTGGTCAGCAAGTTACTATTGAGCAGCAGGGTCGAAATCTGATGGTTCAAGGTTCCTACTTGTGTCACTTAATGATATAGCGCAACCTCCATTCAATGCCAACGTTCAGTAGCTGTCTTCATATCCGACTTGGTTGGCTCCAACGGTCATGACTTCTCATTACAAATTCAGGAATCACCTCTCGAAGCGAGTCACCAATGAGCACTAGATTCATTCAATTTCGAGGTCCTGAAAGTCTTAAGTTCGTCCCCTGACAAGGTCATACGTGCGCACTGTTGAGGAGTCCCATACTGTCCAGTGCTCCCAGGTTTCCAAATGATTTCAATCCATGATGGATGAATACTAACCTGAAAGCAATAAATAAATTTTCACAAACCTCTAAACTTAATAAATCATTAAACTACGAAATAAAATAAGGCGGATTTAAATTGTTAGGACAATACAAGATTGGACATATATCTTATTGAAAACTGCGAAAAGTGACAACACGATAAAATGATCTCTGTTCAAAATATAATGCACCAATGAAAAGCCAATAGTGTATTATAGCCAAGATTTCCATTAAAAGGTATTCTCACTGAGAATAAGTAAATAGTACAGCTAACAAACAAATGAAAATACAATAGCAGGAAGAAAAAAGTAACCAACTCCACAAAATTATGATTTAATAATGTTAAGAGGAGAAAGAAACGGGTAAAGTCTTAAAAAAAAACTTACCAATTCTGCAATTCTTTGTTCAAATATTACTAATTTCTCATTAGCACTATTTTCTTGTTCTGTTAATTGTTTATTTAATTGTTCAATTTGATTTTTTAGATTTATGATTAACTTATCATTCTGTTGTTTTAATTCATTATTTTCCTCTTTGAATGTTTTAATTTCACTGAATCGACAACAATAATTAAAAGAAAAGAAAAGAAAAAGATGTGTACAGATTACCAGTTTTAAGAATGATATTCCGTTAATGTTCATTGTAAAACGGAGAATAAAACTGGGAATCTATGGAGAGCCATTATGTGATCACCCTTATCTTCTTCTCAGATTGAAAATGTGAATTAGTTACCAAAGAGTAGTAATGTTGTTGCTATCAAGTCCCTAGTGTTCCTTATTCACAGATATCAATTGATCGACTGGAGCGGATAAATCAAATACCACAGTGAACTAAATAGTGTAGAACTGATGTCTCTAACTTCAACATTCAGTGAAATAAGTTTAAATCACTTCACGTTTGCAGATACGAATTACTGATGAATGTCGAGAAGTAACTCAAAGCTTTCAGCAGATTAACACCTAACACTAAGACCAAATACAAAGAATTCCAATCTCTGAAATATTACTGTGCAAAGTTAGATAACGACAACCGACGGGCACCAAACCAGTGGCTGCAGTCGGACAGTGAACAGCATCTGAAACATACTATGCTAAACTACACGGTTTTGACTGAGACACCTTAAGATATTTAAGTCAGTCTTCCAAGCCAATGCAACCTGAAGAAAGATTATTCATCGTTAACATAAATTTAGGTACAAATATGCTGATAGGTGTCAACAACCTAATGAATTTCATCATTTCAAAGTTTACGCTTATCCTCAACGTTTATGGTCTAATATTGATAACACAATAATTATTGGTTTTATTGCAGTCGTCTGTCATTCTATATTTTGCTAAATTCCTATCTGTCGCTAATCTAACTGACCCCGACCGACTAGTTTGACCTATTTACTTGACCTCGCAGTTATTACATGGAATTCAGTAGATTAGATTATTTTGCTTGATCGTATGTATCAGATGCTTACACCGAGAAAGCTTATCTTTGAGTGAGTTTGTAGGCTTAAATGCCACCCTAATTCCAGTCTTGTTTAGAATCCTACACATAGTTTCTGATGTCCCTTCCTTATATAGTAACACAATGCAGGTTGTGAACTCCTTTCTGCTCGTGTTGTCGTTAGTATTCTTACTCGTGTTACTGTTATGATTTCGTTCGGTTGTATTCATACGAAGCTCTAGATAAACGGTGGAGGATAATTATTAGTTACTAACGTTTCTTTTATGTGTTTCAAATCCTTGTTTAGGTCCTTAAAATGGCTGAAGAGTTTTTCACCTCTGTCATGTAGACATTTTACTAAACCCGCCTTAACTGACATTGGATAAGATGACCTGAAGTCTATATACCTGTTAGAATATGTCGGTATCATCTAAACCACCGTCTATCCTGCAATCCAATTCTTCCTTCTCATTTTCTACCTCGTAAGTGAATTGGATTGGGCCTACTACTGAGTTTATGTGTGAGGAAATTGTCGATATGTTCCGATTTCAACATAGTAAATATGTCATCCATATATCTCCACCATATCTTAGGTGCAGGACTAAACCCTTGTAAAATAGCCATGTTTTCCCAACTATCCATAAATACATTTGCTACCATCGGGGATATAAGCGATCCCATTGCTACTCCTTCTGTTTGTCTATACATTTTGTTCTGTAACTTGAGAACTGTGGAGGTCAGGCACAAGCGCACGTCTAATATGACCTCATCAACCTATATCTTAGTTCTGTGAGTAAGTTCTGAGTCAATATTTGGTTGATTTCTGATTGCCACTAGTGCTATAGTGATTGATATGTTAGTATAAAAACTTGTTACATCGAAACTAACCATTTTTTTCATCCGCTTTTAAATGCAGGTCATTAAGCCTTAGTTTTAACTCGCAAGAGTTAAAATCTATGTTAGATTGGAGGATAAAACGAAGGACAGACGATGGTTTGGATACCACAATTTAAGAATAACCGACACATTCTAACAGGTATATAGACTTCAGGTCATCTTATCCAATGTCAGTTAAGGCGGGTTTAGTAAAATGTCTACATGACAGAGGTGAAAAACTCTCCAGCCATTTTAAGGACCTAAACAAGGATTTAAAACACATAAAAGAAACGTTAGTAACTAATAATTATCCTCCACCGTTTATCTAGAGCTTCGTATGAATACAACCGAACGAAATCATAACAGTAACACGAGTAAGAATACTAACGACAACACGAGCAGAAAGGAGTTCACAACCTGCATTGTGTTACTATATAAGGAAGGGACATCAGAAACTATGTGTAGGATTCTAAACAAGACTGGAATTAGGGTGGCATTTAAGCCTACAAACTCACTCAAAGATAAGCTTTCTCGGTGTAAGCATCTGATACATACGATCAAGCAAAATAATCTAATCTACTGAATTCCATGTAATAACTGCGAGGTCAAGTAAATAGGTCAAACTAGTCGGTCGGGTCAGTTAGATTAGCGACAGATAGGAATTTAGCAAAATATAGAATGACAGACTCGAATAAGATCAACAACCTAGGAAAACACTCGGCTATTGCAATACATGCATTAAAACACAACTAAACAATAGGGTGGGATAAAACCACTGTGCTCAAGTCGAATATAATTAAGTGGAGAGACAGATTGACTGCTCATTGAATCTACACCCACTACACCCAATAGGAATGACGCAACACCTATACTGGAGACCCGGAATACTTTACTCCCAATAAAAACAAATCATATGAGGAGACGTAACTGTGAAAATCAAACGTCGAAAGTTGTGTGATTATATTGAAATGATTATGAACACTAATTTATACTCAAAACGTCATCAAGCAAATAATACTACATCACTACGTGTTATAAATCAAAAAAAAATCTAATAAGGTTTTATAAGCGTGAATAAAAAATAGTAAAATTAAGGTTTTCCATTAAAAAAATGAAATTGAAGCAATCAGCGCATACACAAACAGATAGAAGTGCGTCGATTCAATTCGACCCATACCATAACCGCTAGGAAAGAAGTGAAGCAAAAACTAATGTGAGAAAATCGTAGCTTCGTCATGTCTCCTACTATCAAGTGTCATATCTCACAGCAATACAATACGGTCGCGTACATAATGAGATGCAATAAACTCGTTCTTCTAATTCATAATCACATATGTAACTTGTAGAACGGTTCTACAATACTTTACAGATCAAACAACGTGCTTAGTATACTTAAACACTTCGTTCCTTACAGCAAGATAAAATATGAATACAGACTACGCGTTGCAAAGCAACAATTTGCGTCTAGAATATAGGAAAAGTCATCCTAAACATACTAAATCGGTCTCTCAAAGTTTACATCTAGTAGCAAGATATCATTGGTGTATTTCAGATCGATAAAGCAAAAAGTCAAGGAGGCAATCTATTCCTATTAATTCAAAAGAACACCATAGATGACAAATGCTTTTGCGAATACTGTAAAACAAGAGAAAAAAAATAAAAAGGTTAACTTACACAGATGAATTCTGTAACTGACAATTCAATTTCTCAATTTGTCCATTAAAATCAACAGTTAAGGCTTCAATTGTTTCAGCTTGACGTTTAAGCAGATTTTCTGCCTCTGACTGACGTTCAGCTAATAATAGACGTAGTCGATCGCATTCCACTTTCAAAGTTTGCTCATCTTTTTCATTTACTGGAATAAGCATCGCAGATACAGAGTTAGTAATTTGAAGAGAAGCTTCCTCCTGTACATGTAATTAAGATGTTAAACTGGATAAATAGAATGGTCTTTATAAATTAAGCAGAGGTGAAGATGATGTAATGAAAACAAAAAATCAAAGGGTAAATGTCATCCAACTGGAACAACTTCTCTGAAATATTTCAACGACTAGAAACGAGATTAAATAGTTTACACAAACTAGTGAAAGTAAGAAAATAAAAGGTCGAGCACTTATCCATAGGTTTGACTGACCGAAAAAATCAACGTAGAACCTCACATACAAGTGTATCGGTTCAATTTGACACACTTCATAGTAATAATACAAAGAATAAGTGGGTAGGAAGAGAAAAGAAACAATAAATAATATGAAGATAACGGTTAGTGAGAATATTCAAACTTTAGAAAATGTAAGCGAATGAATATATCCGCATCACTGTAACTAATTTTCATACATTTCACTAACAGTCTTCAAGCACTCATTCCTTTCGTCTTGAAGACTCATCATCATCATCATCATTATCAACATAGGACCAGGCATTACTGCGTAACGGTCCGAGTTGCCACACCTCATATCAGCACATCAAGTATAAAGGTAGTGAGGTGAAGGATGAAGATAAGTGAATGCAGTCAAAAGAAATACAAAGTAAGAGAAGAAAGGAAAGAGGAGTGACAAAATAGTGAGATTCGGTATAGCGTTGTTAAGATGAGGATAATGTGTGTATACATCTGCGCCACTGACTTCGGTTCTGAGCCATATCACCTAGGGTCTGCAACCACTGGTTCCTCTTGTCCCGTGGACCCCAACCACCTAGTCTGCATCGTCCTACATGGCTTAAACCAACAGTCAGAGACTTCATACATTGGTGCCATGTTTTAGTCTGGCCACCTCGGGCCTTTTTCCAGCCTGAACCCACCTCAGCCAACATTGTGTGACGAGGCAATCGGTGACTAGGCATACGTAGTACGTGTCCCAACCATCTCAGTCGATGAAGGTTCACAACCTCGTCGACTGACTTACCTCTTCTCCCTAAAACTCTACACCTAACTTCTGTATTACTCACATGGTGACACCACGGAATACGTCCTATACTACGAAGGCAACGGTGGTCAAATACCTGTAACCTTGAAGACTCCAACCAGACAGTCTACATCTCTTCATGAAACTTAGATCAACAGTAAGAGACTTTGTCGATTCGTGTCACGTTTTAATCTGGCCACCCTGAACTCTCCTCCAACCTAATCCAGCTTCCACTAGCGCGGTACATCGAGGTAGGTGATGTCTCCGCGTATGTATGTGTATATCCATATTCAACTGATGAAAGTTCAGAAACTCACCAATCGACTTGCTTATCTTCCTTGTACCCTTCGCTCACACACTGATTCCACCAAATGCGAGCAATGCTACAAAAGCACTTTTGATCAAACACTCGTAACCGCTCCAATTCTTCTACTTTTAGCGGCCATGTCTCATAGCCATAAGCAAGATAGAACGGACTGCAGCGCAGTATTCTTTTCCTTTGCTAAACAGTCGGATATCTCGCCAGTTGGCCTCACAATTAATGCAAGTTGGCAAATGCCAAACGGGCCTTCTGTATCCCAGCTGACATTTCGTCAGCAACCAGCCCGTTAGGCGGGCTGATACAGCTCTTCAAGTAAGTGAAGTGGTCGACACATTCCACTACTTCACTCCCTATCATTAAACTGAGAGTGGTTGCAGACCGGTCCGGGAGCATCACCTAACATTTCACAGGTCCCAGCGAGATGCATGCTAAATATACTCAAAGCGTTCAGAAGACCATGCATTTTGTCAGGGAGCTTCACTTAGCAAGACAGTGTCATCTGCATACTCCAAGTCAGCTACATGACCTCCAGATAGTAGGTCACTCTCCGTGAAGTCGGCCGTTACTAAGGTTATTTCCATTAGTACGTCGATAACGAGGTTAAATGGGAACGTGGACAGCGAGTATCCTTGGTGGACACAACTAGCGATCCATGGGTTTAGTACAGGATGGGTTCAAAAGTAGATGAAGATAAACAATAACTTCATTTAAACCATGTGGATCGATTTTAAACAATGCTTCTATGGATTAACTTCTTCTCTCCTACGAACCTAAGGGTGAAAATCCTCTTACCGCAGATGATAAATGACGACATAAATTGTGATCTTATCTTAGTCTGAAAAAATGGAAGCCTGACAGACTACATAACTTCATCCATCACTATACATCAAAGTGTTTATTAGCTCGACATTTATAACACACCTTTGTCACTCTGAACAATTCATGTAAATTACCTTGATGACCCTAAAATCTTTTCCTAACCTCATCAGTCGTTATCTAGCATACATTATTCTTCAACAGATTGTCACTTTAATTGTTTGGTAATTTATTCTTCCAGTTGGGAATCAACAGTAATTGCGGACCCAATCCCTTGTTATGTATTAGGAGCTTTGACGACTGTTTCCTTATAACTTTCACCTACGCTCTTAATATATCATATATACATTAGTGTGTTACACCAAGTAAGCCTCAGGATAAACATAGATCACTGAATAAGTCAGTATCAACGTGTAGTCTGGCACTAATGAATAACGAATCAAGTTGCCACAAATCAAATAGGCATAACAAGTAGAAGGCACCAAGATGACAGATAGGAGCAATAAAAAAGAAAATAACCGAAAGTTGTAGAAATTCAAAAGGACAAGAGAAAAGGGAGAAAAACCATAGTGAAGATCTCTTTGACAACTAAGATAATGTGTGGATACATCTACACAACTGAGTTCGACTTCGAACCCTATATAACCTAGTCTCTAACCAACGATTTCAGTTGTCATATGGGCCCTATCACCAAAGTTTACATTTTCCTACACAGCCCACACGAACGCCCAGGGCCTCTATGAACTGATATCATGATCTGGTTTGGGCGCTTTCAACGCATTTCCTGTCTGAACCCACTTCCGTTAACTTTAAGATGACCGCAAAGATAGTGGCTAGGCATACGCAACAAATGTCCCAGCCTACTTCAGTCAATAAAGGTTAACAACCTTATCATCAACTGATTCACTAATTACTCATCATTAGATTAGATATCATGTGGAAAACTGCCACTTGCCATAAAACATCTCATTTACTTAGTAAGTGAATAGCACTTGAACCCTCATCCCCCTGTTTGTTATCAAATAGTCGAATTGCTACAAATAACATTCGATGCTTGACAAACACTCAAATATACTAAAAGCTTCTGAGTATATAAAAAAACATTAAGTTAAATTCTAAATAAACATTGCAGTTCTTTTCCTGTTGGTGGTTAGCAGTGTAATCCAATATGCCCGTCTCATTCTATTTCAAAAATTCCAGTTAATAAAATTTACATATACTTGGTGAGAAAACTTAAGAAGTGTATAAAATTCATTACGTGTAAGAAAGAATGTGAAAAAACCAAGTGGATTTAGTAAGCAAGTGGATGCAAATGTCCCCTGACTGGGCAGTTAGTGTGAGTACAAAAAAGCGGTAGTGACGCGTCAAGAATTCATATGGTAGTCAGGTAGAACCCTTGATGATTGAAGTGAAATAAAATCGGCAGTCGGGCCTTGAAGCTCAATTAGTACAGCATCGGACCGGAAACCCGGTGATTACTGGTTCGAGTCCTGCTGTGGTCCAAATTTGCATTTCCCCTTCAATTATTATTCAGTATAAATACTAGTTTGCCAAACTACGACTGTCTCTGATAGTCGAAATGATAATCTATATGATGATCCCCATCTCTAACCTAAGTAGATTCGGATTTATATGAGAAGTCCTGACTATGCAGTCAGTGTGAATACAAACGATAGTAACGCGTCACGAATTCATATAGTAGTTGGGCAAAATCCATGGTAAGTGAAGTGAAATAAAAATTTGGTCAGCAGTCAAGCCTCAAACCTCGCCTAGTTTACTGGTTACTAGTCGGTCCTAGGCCCGGATAAAGAGAGAAGCTTGGGCATAAGGCTAGCAACCCTACCCCGGAAAACCAATCCAACCGCTACAGAAACTTCAGGGCACAAAGTAAATATAAAAAATGAAAAGAAACTTATTCCTCGCTGGAATCGAAGGCTAAATGACGCCAGTTGGTGAAAGCCTTCGGGAAGCCAATTGACCGATGTGTCATCTCTCTCTCTCCATGAAAGCAAAAGTAAACATAGGGACATGGAATGTCCGAATAATGTTTGAAGCTGACTGACAAGGCTGCCCAGATTGCAAAAGAGGTGAGAAGGTATGGCATAGATGTTCTAGGAATCTGTAGATGGAATGGAAGTGGACTCTCCAAACTCTTAACTGCAGAGTCAATAATCTACTCCGATATTGTCACCCGGACGACAACCACAAGCACACTGAGTATTGCAGTGGCTATCATGATATCCCTAAGAGCCCCAAAGGCTCTCTCTCATGCAGCTGGAACCAATCTCCTCCTCCACGATCAGCATCATGACAGCAAGATGGATTCAACTGAAAAGGAAGGAAAGTCACAACGATACAATGATACGCTACGCTATGCACCTACAAGTAATGAAGATCAAGACAAGAAGTAGGAACTCTACAGACAACTGCAATCAGCACTGGACAAGACCTCAGTTGACGATATTAAAATTCTATTGGGCGACATGAATGCCAAACTGGGAACAGACAACAAACGAAGAGAACTCATCATGGGTCGAGAAGCACTCGGTGAAATGAATGAGAACGGAGAACTGTTTGCAGATTTCTGCGCATTCAACGATTTTGTGATTGGAGTTAGGCAGTGAGTACAAACACAAGGATATTCACAAAGCGACATAGACTTCACCAGATGGACACACTACACTAAAAATCACATCGACTTCATCTCAATGTGAAGAAAGTGGAGACGCAGTCAGCCTACTGAACATAAGATCAGACCAAGAAGAGGAGCAGATGTAGGTTCGTTCACACTACTCACCAACTAGTGCAAGCAACCTAACTTCAAAATCAAGTTGAAAGTCTTCAGAGAAGCTTGTGATGATAGACGACA